GTGTTATTGGATGTTTTGGCGATTTGTGGGTAGGCTGCACACAACCAGGTGTGTATCTAGCTCAATTTAACCTGCCAGGGGAATTGTAAAAGATCATCTACAGCTCATTGATTACAGTGATATCATAAAAGAGTACCGCATGTGGTCGATTTTCTGGACTGGTTCTCTTTACAATCTATATAAACGGCATTAGATTCGATTTTTACATAGGATAAGCAAAGCAAAGTTAGATTTTAGTCAGCTTTTACTTCAGAAAATATTTTATATGAAAATAACTTTGATATTCAAAAAAATAATAACCCCTAAACAAGAAATACACATTTTGTTCTCCAAAATGTGTGTCACGATTATCGAGGCTCCTGTTTGCATTACTTTGTTCACACTTCCCTTGCCAAGATTACAACACTGAGTGTTCTGCATCACAGTTTGCTCAGATAGGAGAACACATAGCAAGAGAATACATTAACTCCCCAGATCCTCCACTCCTTGGTTCTCACTTGTGGACTTTCCTCCTACAGGCTTTTGGCCTACAGTCCCACAGATTTTGAATTGGATTTGGGTAAATGGCTTCTGCAGAAGATCTATTCTTCGGTCACCGTACTGGGTTGTTTTTTTCAGAGCCACTGCGTATTAGTTTCTTGTTGTTGCTTGCTGTTTAGGGTTTTATACAGTATCTCTGTCTGAACATATCGTAGCTGCTGACGTATAAACAACATCTGATTGACCGATTCGGTAAGTAAAACATTTTTGTGGGTCTAGTCAAATGCTTTGGATAACTGCCATGTTAGAACATAGTTTTAACCTCTAAAATGTTCTGATTCCCTGACAGCCTGTGGTGCTGTGTATCCATGCCAGTTTTTCAGGACATTCGGTAGCAAAAAAAGCCCACAAACCGTACATCCACCAACAAACCACGCGTGTTCAGACTCCTGGCTTGGTCCGTTGCAACACCGTTAAACATAAATTCTACAGGGTCCCAAGTCGAAGAGAAGTGAAGACAAAATGGCCATATGTGCATGACTAACTGGCAAGTAGAACAGGCGGTAACACATGTCTAGTGACAGTGTGACTCATCAGAATCACGCCAAATGGTGTACAGTATCAGTTAAGCACAGTAAGTAATACAGCAATTGGTCACGTTATGCAGGCGCCTTAGCCCAACCCACAACCCATACATAGTATTAAAGAAATAATGACAGCTAATCTGTAAAAATATTTAAGGCGTGTTCTAATCAGGGGACATTATAATGAGAGACACAGACTAGACGCCTTAAATCTCCAAGCCACAGTACATCAGCCCATCACATCTGCTACGTACTGGACATGACCATATTACCCAGGTAAGACTGGCCAATAATACATACAATATGCCTTGACCATTAATAACAGCACTTCCGAGGTCATGTGAGTGGTTTATGCCAACATGATCAGAGCTGCCCTCAATTGAATTCCCCAATAAGTCAAAATTTTACCCTAATGAAACTTAACCCTGCCCAGAAATGTGCTACTCACTTCCCTGGCATCCTCCCTGGGTGGTAGAACCGGTGAGGGGCGTGTGATCCGTACAGTCAGTACCGGGACAATCAGATGTGTCAGCGGGCCCTTGTATGTCAAATCAGTAGACCACAATATAGTAATTAACTGCGTAATCGAGACTGCGCATCTTGAACACCCGGCCATTGGTTTAAAGAGCACAAGAGTTTACTTGAAATGGCACGAAGAACAGGCACACCTTTAGTGGAGAAAACACATGAACTTACCAGCTGCATGCCACATAAAAAAGCCAACGTGCACCGGCCACCGCAACAGCCCATGGTGACGTTTGTGCGCTCTGGATCTCCGCTCCACGTGGGTCGGTGTGACTCCCCAAATGCCCGGATCTCTCCGCAGGTGGCCCGGACTGGAGCAAGTACGCACTAAGCACTGTCAACCAGCCCGATCTGTGCTCAAAATCACAGATGCTTTTCTGTCAAAGCTGCGTTCAATACTGGCATTGACATACCTGTATACTCATATCAGTATTCCCCTTTTGTTGGGATTTGTCAACGGTTATCCAGGTAGCATGAAGACATACGACTGAGACAGAGATGTTCTAGTCCAATTTGCAATCACATCAAACAGTTCAGATCTTTGGATTATCTTACATATCCGGCTCTTCAAGACCCTTAAAGTCCGTCAGCTATTCATTAGAACCATGGTCCCCTGGTTAATATCGGTGTGTGAATGAGTCAAACAGACGGAACTATGAAATCATCTGAAAAATGTCATACAAAATTAGATCACACATGATCCAGAAAAAAGTGCCAGCAGGCGACAGGCAGAATAGTATCCCCAGAACAAAGAGGCACTTGAAGAAATTAAATGTGCCAGGCTATTTCGGAATGGGTCCTCTGCCGAGAAACAAAGCTAGTGTTGTTTATGGCGATGGGGGGTTCTCTTGATCGCTCCACCCTCCGGGATCTGGGTGATCGGGTCCGGGTGCGCAAATGAACTGAACTGCGTGGTCCTTTTTTTACTTTTAATACCGAGGAGAAGCAAAATTCAAAGTAGACCCTCGTGTTGTTGCCTGCCTCCTCCAAATAGAGCGCCCGGATAGGAGAATGTCAGTTATTGTCCGATATTGTTGGTGCCGAACAGAGTCCTTGTTGCCTATATGCTGATGCTCCTCAATAGTCCCAATTTCATAATCACTCATTGTCCCCTGTTGGATATTTTAACATTCTGCTTCTCTTAGCCTGCACACATAGCTGCCCTGTCCGAGACTACACGCTCGATAGAACAGACAGACCAGTATAAAGAGGGACAAAAGAGAGAGAGACGCCGAGCACCTTGCGCGCCCACCCGCCTGCCCCATCTGACGCACCATCTGACGCTCCAGATTGAATGTGCCGCACGCAGTGTTTATTCACACCAGTGTTTATTCACACCAGTGTTTATTCACACCCCAGTGATTATTCGCACCAGTGTTTATTCACACTAGTGTTTATTCGCACCAGTGTTTATTTCCACCAGTGTTTATTCACACCAGTGTTTATTCACACCAGTGTTTATTCCCACCACTGTTTATTCACAGCAGTGTTTGTTCACACCAGTGTTTATTCACACCAGTGTTTTTTTACACCAGTGTTTATTCACACCAGGGAAGCGGCTATAGATTCCTTTCTCTTGATATGTGATATAGAGCGCATCTGAGAACCCGGGGGTCACTTGGATACCCGGATCAGAGGTGCGCATGCGCTAAGCCTCGCTCGTCCGCAATCGCAGGTAGTTGAGGAGACACTGAACTAATTAATGCTCCTTTTGATTCAGCTCCTGTAAGTATGATAGGCGGTCCGTCAACTTTGACATTCAGTGACTGATTTAGGCAGACTAGTTCACTTCAGATTGGATAAGTAAATCATCCAGAACAATAGTAGCCCTTCATGTGTATTTTATATGTGCAGATGCTATTTTCTGATATGACAGTTATTATTGTTATTATTGTTATTATGGGGCTCAGTGGGTTGAGTCCGTTGTATATCAATCGGAAGGTTGGTGGTTCGATCCCCGGTTTCTTCTGGGACATTGTCGAGGTGTCCATGAGCAAGACACGCAAGCCTGGAGTCGCCTGGCATGGTAGACGCGGTTGTCAGTGTATAAATATGTTAGGCCATACAGCAGTTCGTCTGACATTCTATAAATTAAGTAAAAGTAATGCACTATATAGCCTAATCCACTATATGCAGTAATCTAGTACTTGCAATTAAGCACACACACACACATAGAACCAAGAGAGACCGAGTGATAATATTGTTTGACAGACAACTTAAACACTTAGAATCCGAAAAATTAGCAATACTTTATTCGTGGCTACACGGAGAGAACACAAACCGCGCGCACATGCGCGCACCCACACATCAACAGTGTTTATGACATTGCTTAATTATACCGATAATCTTGATTGACAGTATCATGTAGTGTATTTGCTGGGTGATATCCCGGGGTAATGACTATTGGCGTCCGTGCACCATTATTGGAATGTTTTTTTCTAAAGAGATGGAAGACTCTAGCATGGCTCATCCAGTGTAATCTAAGAATCGTTTTCCTTGAATAACCTCTAAAACTGATACATACCAGAGATATAGAGACTGGGGAAAATGTGTTTATTACTCACAGTATCTGTCTGGGCCAGATGCCTGTTTCTGCTGCCACACTTGAGCTCTGCTACTGAATTGCTGTGACATTTTAACTTTAAGCTGGATGGTTGTCATAAACAATTTGAGCGAACCCTATGGGAATGTAGCGGAGGCTATACAAAAACGCCAATAAAATGAAGATAACTGGACTGGGATTGGCTCATCTGCGGTCTTCTTGGTTGGCTATGTGTGGACCTTCAATAATCACAAAATTGCCTTCCCGTAATATAACCTCTGGCCAATGGGGTAATTACACACGCCCTTGTGGCATCCAAATGTATAATTAACATGCAGAATATCATTACCCGACACGCCCTTTTCACGTAACAGATCATGCTTCATATATTGTTTGGCAACTCTGAATAAGCAGTCCAGTGTCTGTCTTCAGATAAGTGAATGGCTGCGTTAACTGGCAGTAAAGCATGTGACTGTCCACCTCTGTAAAGCCTCGCTAAACACAGACAGCATTTATTGGACTTTTTGACTTTGTCTTAATTTAGAGGTGCAACAATGCTATCTTCCTTTCGACAGTCAGAGGGGGGGGAGGGGCATATCCTCAGCTGTCACACAGGATGCTGCACATCTGTGGATGGACAATCAGTTGCAGTGGGACTGGAATTCTGCATCAAAATGAATGACGGAGACCACCGAAAGCTACTTGGCCCGTGTGCGCTAATGTATCTTTGGTCCTGGTTTTGAAAAGGTCAATACACCAACAGTGTTGTCCAGAAATAACAGGAAACATACTGTGCAATATCATTCTTCTACACAACTGCAGCACTTCCATTATTTTCAGAGGGTGTTGAACATGCATCGAAGATAAACAGCAAGGAATGGGAATCAAACCCACAACTTGGCATTGAAAGTGTCATGCTCGACCAATTAAGCAACACTGGGCAACTGAAGTTACATAAAACAACTACACATGGAAACGCAGCATCTGGCATGCGTATATAGCTTTAATTGACACAGGCAAACACAGAGAAAGTAGCAAACCAAATAGCGTCCTGAGAAATACAAGAAATGCACCCAACAATTAAATATACTTAGTGACCTGAAACTATGTGATACATTGGAACAAGAACCTTCTGGTAGCTATGACACACAGTAATCCTCCACTGCTAATAAACGCTTGACAAATTAAGATACACAAGTCATCATACAGACCATAATAATAAACAGCAGTTAAAGCATACACCAGCATGATGTTTGAGGATATTAGAAAATCTCGGAATTTCCCGATATCTCTTCCATTACAACGGATCTGTGGCTATGAACTCAATAGTCTCTCATTCATTGTTTTATTAAGAATATTTGGTTCTTTTTGGTGTGCGTGTTTAAAATAGGTGAACGTTCATTTGGATTCAGCGTGGATATTCTCTACAAACCTTTTAGACATGAGAAATGAATAAGGACTGTGCATCTGAAAGCACTGTACAGAAAGTTATTGACCCATTAAAGATTCATAAAGTGCTGCTCAGCACTGAACACATGTGGGCGTGTTCAATCTGAATGACTCAACGAAAGCACTAAGAAATTATACTGAATTATAACACCAACTTCAATATACTCCAGCACAGTAGGCGGTGGCATGAACATCTGCTTGTGGACAGCAATAAAACCATAGAAGAAGTAATTTGCTGTCAGAATCTGCCAAAAGCAACATCCCGTTAGTACTTATATATTTATTTACCTCTTTGGATCTATAGAGTTTTAGGCCCAAGGGCTTCAGTCCAAGTAAACTTTTGACTTAATCCTGTTGTGTCTTCAGAGCCCAGAGCCAAAATGTAGTCAACATGTTGGATGCAGGAAAAATGATACAGATTAAAGACCTGAGCAACTTTGACAAGGGCTAAATTGTTGTGACCAAGACGACTGGGTGAGAGCATCTCTGAAGCAACAAGCTTGTGGGGAGCTCCCGGTCAGCAGTGGTGAATGCCTACCAACAGTGGTCCGTGAATGGACAAACCACACACGGATGACAGGTCCATTTTAATGCTAGTTTTGTGCACAGCATCCGCCTTGCAACTTACAGGACTTGAAGGATCTGCTACTATTATCTTGGTGCCAGGTTAACGTGATACAAGTTTGTAATTACCGGTAACTTCGATTTTAGTACTTTTTAATTTGTGCACGGATGTAATGGTGGCGCAGTGAAACCAATTGTCAGCAATTAGATTTTAAAGGTAGGCGCTCTCTACTACATCCTAATCGTGATGCTTTTTTAGCTAAATATCTCATTAACACACATTCCCATGCTTTTCCAGCAACAGATTAGGATTTGTCCTTAAATAAAAACATCATTTAAATTCAATTTATTTTTAGTGCCAGAATAGGCTTAATCTGTGTCTATGAAAAGAAACCCTTTTGCCTACGGCCATCATTGTGCGGATCAAAGAGAGTTCAGGCCATTGCCAACTAACTGAATTGCAAATCACCTTTCATCATAACTAGCAAACACACTGCTATTATTCATAGATCAGTCTGTCAGAATGTATACATTATACATGGTGGTTTTGATCTTCTCGAACACACAGAGTTTCTGTCAGTGAGAGTCGCGGGTTCATTATAAATGACAGTGTTTTCTTCTCAAGTCTTTAATGAAGTGCATGAATAAAAGTGGATGGAAATCGTTCAGTCACCTGAATAAGGTGACGATTATTTTTCACAAGTGCCTATATTCCAGGATAACATCACTCCTAACCAGTGGTAAAATAAACATATATTAACCATATGAAACCATATTATATGAAACAAATGTTCACATTGTGCACAACCTCAAACAGAGAGGGGTTCGTGACATGTACATGAGAGTCGAGTCAATAGAGGGCAGTGGGAAGCCCACTTTTCTTTCCATCTAATTCCATTTAGGACACAAACTCAAGTACCAAAAGTACATAGTTTCCAGAGACAATAATGACCGTAGCAACTTAGGACAAACCTTTTATACCAGCGGGCCTCAATTATCTTCATGCATGAAGTTGGCATTTGTCTAACAGTGCTATAATAATCCTATAATGTGCCTACCTGTGAGTCTATTCAGAGCCACACTGTAGACTGATTATAGAAGCTCTCGTAATGAACCAATTAAATTCAACACGCTGCCTTTGCTGCAGCGGTGCAATACAATTACTATGTTAATAAGCACCTGAGACAGGCTGTGTTCGATAGCCCTGTGCCCCCTTGTGGTTTAGGCATCTGCTTTAATCACAGACCTACAGTAGGCCCAATATGTGCCTGTGCCACTTATTATCTACCACTTCACATTTACAGACAGGGTCAAAATTGAGTGGAACCAAAGCCGATTGAAGCTTTTTAAAATGACCTAGTCTTATGCTTCATAATGCAGAATGTAGCCAAATGGTAATTGGTCAAAAAGGTTTGTATAACATACTTTCAACTGAAAGACGGACGAAACAAAGAAACAAAAATTCTGAAGGGTCCAAAATGAACCACATTTGGCCTGTAATACTGCCAATACAGGCTTACTATCCAGAAATGGAGTTGACCTGACCCCTCTGTCACACCATGACAATGACCATATTGACCCAAGTCAAACCAGTTCCTTAGGAGGTGTTGGTAGCTCATTGGTAGAGTGCATGATTTGAATGTATGATGTTCCGGGATCAATCCCCAGCTTCTTCCCAAGTCACAAATGGGAATTTTTCTCAATCGGCCTACCTGGTTAAGTAAAGGTTTCATAAAAAATAAATGACAACATCTTCTGAAATTATCAGCACACAATCTCTGATAATCGTTCCTGTCAGCTACCCCCCAAAAAACATAAGAAACTAACATCAGTGATGTTCTCTTTATAGCATGTCATTTGGACAAAAGAGTGACATCGTGGTGAATTTGGAGATCACATAACATCGCATGTAATTTGTTACAAAATTCTTCAAAACGTTTTTTAATAAAAAAAGGCTATGAAGTTTAAACAGCTTGGTGTGTCATGAGTTGCCAAATAAAGGTTTGTTACACCTTGGCGCTGATTAATGACAGTGGTACACATACAATTACATATTGCATTGTAATTTGCATCCTACTTGGCTGTTCTCCAAATGCCAAGCAGACAGCACTTGGCAGTCACCCGTCAGCCATTGCATGTTTTTTTATAGTCACATTTAAGTGTACTTTAACTACACCTTGCCCAAAGCAGAGAAGTGGAAAAGTATAGAGTTTCCAGAGACAAATGAAGTAGATTGGTATATTGGTCCCTTTTACACTCACTAGAAGTCGACCCTTGGAAGGGGAATCGGGTTTGATTTGAGATTTTCAACATTACGATTCATGGAACATCTTGGAAGTCTTTCCTTAAAACCAACCAATCTACATGAATGTACCTATCAAGTGGTCACTGGCGTCACGGTGATTTGAAGACATCATGTCTTTACCTCGTGTTTCCCGGTTTACCTTCTTCCATGAACGCATCCCTTAACTCATTTAATTGTCTTGTCTAACTGTTCACACCAAGTCCCCATGTCTAATTAGTACGTTCAGAAGTGTCTCTGCCTCGTTCCCCCTGTCTTGTGAATCAGTGTTACCTATTATGTCTTTGTGTTATGTTAGTGTTACCTGTTATGTCCTTGTGTTATGTTAGTGTTACCTGTTATGTCTTTGTGTTATGTTAGTGTTACCTGTTATGTCTTTGTGTTATGTTAGTTTTACCTGTTATGTCCTTGTGTTATGTTAGTGTTACCTGTTATGTCCTTGTGTTATGTTAGTGTTACCTGTTATGTCCTTGTGTTATGTTAGTGTTACCTGTTATGTCTTTGTGTTATGTTAGTGTTACCTGTTATGTCCTTGTGTTACGTTAGTGTTACCTGTTATGTCTTTGTGTTATGTTAGTGTTGCCTGTTATGTCTTTGTGTTATGTTAGTGTTACCTGTTATGTCCTTGTGTTATGTTAGTGTTACCTGTTATGTCCTTGTGTTATGTTAGTGTTACCTGTTATGTCTTTGTGTTATGTTAGTGTTACCTGTTATGTCCTTGTGTTACGTTAGTGTTACCTGTTATGTCTTTGTGTTATGTTAGTGTTGCCTGTTATGTCTTTGTGTTATGTTAGTGTTACCTGTTATGTCCTTGTGTTATGTTAGTGTTACCTGTTATGTCCTTGTGTTATGTTAGTGTTACCTGTTATGTCCTTGTGTTATGTTAGTGTTACCTGTTATGTCTTTGTGTTATGTTAGTGTTACCTGTTATGTCCTTGTGTTATGTTAGTGTTACCTGTTATGTCTTTGTGTTATGTTAGTGTTACCTGTTATGTCTTTGTGTTATGTTAGTGTTTGCAGTTAGACCCTTTTTATGTTTAGTAAGTTGCTACAGTTAAGCACATTTACAGTTTTTATGTTTCTGCATATCCCCAACTAGAGAATAGTGTGGACACATCCCCAACTAGGGAATAGTGTGGACATATCCCCAACTAGAGAATAGTGTGGACATATCCCCAACTAGAGAATAGGGTGGACATATCCCCAACTAGAGAATAGTGTGGACATATCCCCAACTAGAGAATAGAGTGGACATATCCCCAACTAGAGAATAGAGTGGACATATCCCCAACTAGGGAATAGTGTGGACATATCCCCAACTAGGGAATAGTGTAGACATATCCCCAACTAGAGAATAGTGTGGACATATCCCCAACTAGAGAATAGTGTGGACATATCCCCAACTAGGGAATAGAGTGGACATATCCCCAACTAGGGAATAGTGTGGACATATCCCCAACTAGGGAATAGTGTAGACATATCCCCAACTAGAGAATAGTGTGGACATATCCCCAACTAGAGAATAGTGTGGACACATCCCCAACTAGAGAATAGTGTGGACATATCCCCAACTAGAGAATAGAGTGGACATATCCCCAACTAGAGAATAGTGTGGACACATCCCCAACTAGAGAATAGTGTGGACATATCCCCAACTAGAGAATAGAGTGGACATATCCCCAACTAGAGAATAGTGTGGACATATCCCCAACTAGAGAATAGAGTGGACATATCCCCAACTAGAGAATAGTGTGGACATATCCCCAACTAGAGAATAGTGTGGACATATCCCCAACTAGAGAATAGAGTGGACATATCCCCAACTAGGGAATAGTGTGGACATATCCCCAACTAGAGAATAGTGTGGACACATCCCCAACTAGAGAATAGAGTGGACATATCCCCAACTAGAGAATAGTGTGGACACATCCCCAACTAGAGAATAGTGTGGACATATCCCCAACAGCATCATGGCTATTGTTGGTGATATGTCTACACCAACATGCTTGACTGTAGGCAGGACACACTTGTCTTTGCAATTCGCACCTGGTTGCCGCCACAAACACTTGACATCCTGTGGATCAAATAAGCTTATTTTGGTATCTTGTTTGCAGGGTTTCTTGAGCATCATCTTTAGAAGAGGCTTCCTTCTGGGACGGCCATGCAGACCAATTTGATGCAGTGTGCGGTGTATGGTCTGAGCACTGGCAGGGTGACATCTGACCCCTTCAACCACTGCTGGCAGCACTCATACGTCTATTTCCCAAAGACAACCTCTGGATATGAAAATGAGCACATATACTCAACTTCTTTAGTCGACCATGGCGAGGCCTGTTCTGAGTGGAACCTGTTAAACAGCTGTATGGTCTTGGCCACTGTGTTGCAGCTCAGTTTCAGTGTCTTGGCAATCTTCTCATACCCTAGGCCATCTTATGTAGAGAAACAATTCTTTTTTTCAGATACCCAGAGAGTTCTTTGCCATGAGGTGCCATGTTGAACTTCCAGTGACCAGTATGAGTGTGGGAGCGATAACACTAAATTTAACACACCTGCTTCTCATTCACACCTGAGACCTTGTACCACTAATAAGCCACATGACACTGGGGAGGGAAAATGGCTAATTGGGCCCAATATTCAGTTAGGGGTGTACTCACTTTTGTTGCTAGCAGTTCATACATTAATGGCTGTGTGTTGAGTTATTTTAAGGGGAAAGCAAATGTACACTGTTATACAAGCTGCACACTCACTACTTTACATTGTAGCAAAATGTAATTTCTTCAGTGTTGTCACATGAAAATATATAATCAAATATTTACAAAAATGTAAGGGTTGTAGTGTACTCACCTTTGTGAGAAACTGGATATGTATGTATATGTATTTCATTTTAGATTCAAGTATAGTGTTTTGTCATGCTTACGTGAGGCGTAGTGCATAAAAGCCTTTTGGAAACACATTTATTATAGGACAATATAGGAGTAACACAAAACAATCCAAGAACATTGAAAAACACTAACTGGTTGAAATAATATTGCGCATATACCGGGACTTACAAAAACATTCCAACAACAGCAATACCACTTCTTGAAATACACAACACTCACCTCTATAACTCGTGAACTGGAAACAATAACCAACAAATGTGAATTCCGAATGCAGTGACTTTTAAAGACACATAATCACCAAGTCCCCAACAGCCGTGACACTTCAATTAAACCCCAATGTAAACCAGCTGTGACCGAATTAACTAACCTACACCCTCCTAGCCCGCTAGGAACCGTGACAATATGTTGTCTCTATTTTGCTTTTAAATAGATTTTTTATTTGATGAAAAGTGAGATTTTCTTTTGACAGTGACTATAAGTAAGTTGCGGAAAAACACAACTGCCAAAATGGAATTAATCCTATCCTGACAGACTGCATGTGTACTTGAGGCAAATTTGGTCAGCATGAGAAAAGATTCCAGCATACAAAGTTTCAAATTAGTTAAACCGGTTAGCGGATCTTTGCGTTGAAGTGAAAGAACAGTACCACCGATTTGTCACAATGCCATTTTCTTTTTTATTCATGACTTAATTCCTGTGTGCAATATTACAAAGTCAAAGATCGATGATAGAGCCAGCTTACTATGAAAGAAAAGAAAAATCTAAAATGAAAAATGGTTTCCAGGCTTTCACCCTGTGATCCATATTAATACAACACGACCAAATTGTCTGAATACAGGCAATGATAAATATTACATCCATCTGTAATAATGTGACTATCATTGTGTATGTGAGTACATCCAATAATGAGAGAACAATGACACAGCTACTTACCAGTCATGGACTGGAAACTGTTAATGTCCCAGGGAGAAGGAGGACCCATGTAAGTTATGTAAGATACACAAGATACTGTATGTAGGTAAACAGGATGTTATATGTAAGATACACAGGATGCTGTATGTAAGATTCACAGGATGTTATATGTAAGATAAACAGGATGTTATATGTAAGATAAACAGGATGCTGTATGTAAGATTCACAGGATGTTATATGTAAGATAAACAGGATGCTGTATGTAAGATAAACAGGATGCTGTATGTAAGATAAACAGGATGCTGTATGTAAGATAAACAGGATGCTGTATGTAAGATAAACAGGATGTTATATGTAAGATACACAGGATGCTGTATGTAAGATTCACAGGATGTTATATGTAAGATACACAGGATGTTATATGTAAGATAAACAGGATGCTGTATGTAAGATAAACAGGATGCTGTATGTAAGATAAACAGGATGCTGTATGTAAGATAAACAGGATGTTATATGTAAGATACACAGGATGCTGTATGTAAGATTCACAGGATGTTATATGTAAGATAAACAGGATGCT